TTACCTTGCCAAGTAATACGCGTTTCTCACTTAAAGAAATGTAATGCATCTATATTTCTTTCTTTCTTCATGTAGAACCATGGTTTCGAAAACTGAATCGGTTATCGAACCGATAAAGTTACTGGTTCAATGGTTCACTGGTCGGACCAATGGTCGAACTGGTCGAACCGTTTAATTGATATATAATTTTTTATTTATTTTATATGTATAATATATAATTTTGTATATTTTATTATTAATTTTATAATATGACATTTCTCTAAATAAGAGTTAATAATATATACAACCGACAATGTTGAATAATGTTGTTAATTTTTTTTTCTTATTTTAGTTTTATATTAAAAATTTTAATCTATATTTAATTTACAAAATAAAGAGAATAGAAACAACCCAATTTTCATTTTAAATCACATTTTAAATTTTTTATTATTGACTAAAAAATAAAAAATAAATATAATGTGCATAAAAAACAACAATAAAATAAATTGCTTATTTTTTCTAAAAAAAATTAAGAATAAATATAACCCAATAGATAATCCACTTCAAATAACAATACATATTTTTAATGAGTACAATTTTACTTGCTAGGCCCAATATTGGCCCAATAATTTAAGCAAGGAAACATATCCAACATAGAAAATACAAGTAAAAAAGGTGTGCTATTTAAACCGCTTCACAATCTACCAATTTCAAATGATAAGCTTGAACCGGTGAACCATTCGAACTGGTCCCAGTTCACCAGTTCAACCGGTTTTGAACCGGTTCGAACGGTTCTTGACCAGTCTCCTGCATAGCGGCTTGAATGCTCAAACTAAACCGTAATGAAGGACGATTCTCGGTCCAACCGATTAAAGCGGCCGGTCCGGTCCGATTTTCACAACAATGTGCAGAACATAGGGGCACGTGTCGTGATGTTATTGGCCCTTGTGGCTCTTAGCTCGAACGATGAGCATGCATATAATGCAAGTCATCATCATCATACTTCTTTCTAACTTTCTCTTTCCTATAACCCTCTCCTTCAACCTTTCCCCCACCATTTTCTTCTTTTTTCCAGTTACCCTCTCCGCCTAGCAGCCACCGGCGGTCGCCGTTTTCGGCGGCGTGCCTCACGACCTCCCGGTCGTCCGGTTTGCATCTTTTTTTTCTCCTTTCAGTCTCCATACCTACCTCCCCGTCAGCCCGGTGTTGGCCTCCTCGGCGCGTCGACTCACCATCCCTCTCCGGCCAGCCTCTCACTGCCGGAGCTGAACATCCTTTTTTTAAATGACGTTCAAAAGGCCCTCTTGGCTTTTCTACTCTCGCCGCTCTCGAGCTTGGAGGAGGGAGAAATCCCGGCGAGCTCCCCCTCCTTCTCTGTGAAGGAGCCGATCGACATTGTCCCAGTTCCATCCATCCCCGCCACCGAGGAGTTCTCAATCGTCGGTCTCAACTCAGGTAGTCTCACCGACCTCGGCCCCCCGGCATTTGCTCGTCCACCGGCATCCACAGGTTCAGATGGTTCAAACCAAAATTGTTGCCACATCAT